CATGCAATCCGCAACGGCTCTTCTCCCCCACCCCATTCCCCTACCCCTTCCCCTTTCCCTTTTCCCTTTCCCCTTCTCCATCCTCTTCTCCCTCACCCCCTTCCCCCTTCCCCTCCGCACCGCCACTTGTCGTGTTGTGGCTTATGGCGAGTCCCTTAGAGCAGGGGGAAGGGGGAAGGGGGGGGGCGAAAGAGAAAGGATGGCTTTAGTCGTAATATTCATTTATTTATTTACCACTTTATTTATTTATTTACTCGTTTATTTATTTATTTATTCATCCATTCCTAAAAGCGGAGAGTATATCACATGAAAGATTTAAACACACTTTTATCAGATCTGTGCGTATGCGAAACCGAGTAAAGTGAATGAATTTATAAGCGAAAGAATGAATGAAAGAGGAGAGACTGCATTGTATAAACGCAAACCACAAAACGCACTCCGGTGTACATTGAACACGCGAATAAAAAAAAGAGAGAAAAAAAAATGACCAGAACATCTCCCAGTGGACCAGTGTTGTACATACGCAGCGGGGAGAACATGAACAACGCGGAACACAGTGAACAAACGTACACAGGTAAATAAACATAAGTCCGTTTCGTTCAGTTGTTTGTTAATGAAGGGGTTCGAGTGTGTACACCTGGTTTGCCGAAAGGGTTATCATCATGTCGATTAAGAGTGTCATTTTTGGGGAGGAAATGTCTAATTCGGTTGGGTTTATTGTGGAGAAAGTGGGCGGTGTGTGTATTTTTATTATGGTTGGTCTGTGTGCTCATTTTTTTTTTTGGCTTTGTATGTAGAAGTGTATGTGCGAACTTTTGCATGGGAAGGCATTTGTGTTGTGATGTTTGTTTACTTCTCTTCTGTTGGTATAAGCTAACGTGTGTACGGTTTATATACATATGTTTACAGGTTATACATGCATGCATTCACGACACTCACTCACTCACTCACTCACTCACTCACTCACACACACACACACACTCACACACACACACACGCACGCACGCACACACGCACACACCCACCCACCCACGCACGGACGCACACACGCACGCACCCACCCACCCACACACACACACACGGACTCTCTTACACACACACGGACTCACACACACACACACACGGACTCTCTTACACACACACGGACTCACACACACACACACACACACGTAATAACTTCGTATAGCATACATTATACGAAGTTATACGATTTGTTTACTTCTCTTCTGTTGGTATAATCTAACGTGTGTACGGTTTATATACATATGTTTACAGGTTATACATGCATGCATTCACGACCCTCACTCACTCACTCACTCGCTCACTCACTCACTCACTCGCTCACTCACTCACTCACTCACACACACACACACTCACTCTCTCACACACACACACACACACCCGCACACACACAGGAACACCCACACGCACGCACACACGCACACACACACACACGCACGCACACACACACGCACGCACACACACACACACGCACGCACTCACACACACCCACACACCCACACACACACCCACACACGCACACACGCACACACACACACACCCACTCACGCACACACACCCACACACACACCCACACACGCACACACGCACCCACGCACGCACGCACACACGCACGCACGCACACGCACACACGCACGCACACACACACGCACACAACACAACGCAAACAGAACCACTTAAGGAAAAAGAATAATAACCTAGAATTTGTATCTTTCAAATACACTCATGTGATTGTATTTCCACTCGCTCCCGGTCGCCAGATGTCATGCTTGTAAACAAATCACAGCTGATTCTCCGTACACTCGCCACGTGTTATGTACGTGTATCTAGCGCAGACTACACTGCCTTTCTTGTATTTTCCATCGTTCATTTGTTTGAAGAAGGGATGTATGTCTCTTTTTTTTA